TCTTCCACGTTCCAGGGCCGAGAGCGCGAGGAACGCGGGTCAATCACCTCGCACCGCGAGACCGCGACGACACCGACTGACTGCCCGCGGCCGCCCGGCTCTCTGGTTCTCTGGCACATTCGGTCTCGGGATCCTCCTTGGTTTCGCTGCTCGTCCCCCAGCCCCCCTTCCCCCTGGGACATCACCCCTGCAGTTGGGGAGGGGGGGGGGCACGCACGTCTCGTTGCGCGGCCCCAGTTGCAGCTCGGCGTCGTCAATCGGTGAGCTTGATCCGACAATCATGCTCCAACGTGATGGCTATCCATGGTTGCCACAGTCAGGGGATTCCGGGAAAACTGGGAAATGTCAGGGGAAAAGTATCAAGTCACCTTTAATTGTTTTTCAGAATGGGCTTGACATTTCGAACGACAAAATACGTAAAAACTTTTTCGAAGCATGTCTCTTTACCATGTGACATATTCTCAATTGTCAGGGAATTTCACCAAAATGTGGCAGGGAAATCAGAGAAATGTAAGGGAATTTTGCTTTTAGAAAATGCAGAATTGTACAAATCCTATTGTATCCTACAATTGTGAAAATTAGTAGCTCTGGATAATTCGAGCTCATAGGTTGGCTGCCCGTTAGGGCTCCAAGAGCTAGATGACCTGATGAAACCTCGTCTCCAACTTTTCGACGTGTCCTAACCTTCTCTATAAAGGTACTCAACGAAAAACCGAACGGAGGCACTCTTATCTCTCGTTGAATAGGAAAGATGGGATGTTCTGATTTCTGAAGCGCAAATCCTAGAACCCGGCGGGAGCAGCGATCTCGGCGCGCCCTCATTTCCCGTGCACCGCGCCTCGGCGTGGATGGATCAACGAGCTGACTTTCCTTTTTATTTATCCGCCGTGCTTTATCCGCGGCTCTCGGAACTTTTCTGCGGTCGCTGCGCCGGTGAAAGTTCGGCAGTCTCGGCGAACCACGATCTTTCATCCTCGGTTCCCGTCATGTCGCAATAAATCCCCACGCTCACCGCCGATCGCGGGTTCCTCCAACCTTCTAGAACTTCCTCCGCGCACCGTCGCACAGTGGATCGAATCAATGCGGAAGGTCCGTCTACAGGTCCCGAAAGTCCTGGAAAAGTCCGGAATTTGCATGACCGGTCCCGAAGTCACGAATAAGTCCAGAAATTCAACTCGAGGTCCCGAAAAATTTAAAAATTCACGGTTTTCGCGAGTACAAGTGCAGTTATCACTTATCACGCAGAAAAGTGTCCCCGATTATACATACATATCATGGATTCCTTTAGCCATCAGCAATTTTCATGAGGATGGACTCGATTTTTATTAAAATTAGCAGTAAGTTGTAGACCCTGACTTGGCAAAAATACGCCGAGGGTCCAACAAAAAGTTCTGAAAAGGTCCTGAAATTGGTTTTCAAAAACCTGTAGACACCCTGGAGGTCGGACAAAATTTAGAAACTTTGAACGCTCGTAACTCTTTTATTACAAAACTTTGAGGCTCTACCAGTGGCTTCATTTGTTCCCTTCTGAAATTTTCTTCTTGAAGCACCCCTTTCAATTCAAAGTATGACGAGAAAACATCAAAATTTGCAGTTTTAGTGGAGAATTTCATGTCCGACCTCTCGTGTCGCCGAAGACTCCGGCCTCCTTCTCGCCAGCTCCGGATCTAAGTCTCTGTGCGAATTTCACTCCTTCTTCATGTCTTTTGGGTCTGCTTAAAGCAAATCAGGCTCGAAAGAAATATACCCATCGGATTTGGCCCCTGGATCTCTAACTGTGTCCACGGTGATCTCTACATAAGGTTCACCCGGAACCGTCGTGGCCGAGTTTGGCCGAATACTGCTATACAGGGTGACTCGAAATTCCCCCACCATTATAACTTTGGAGCTAATTGAGGTGAAGGTTGAAAAGTTCGTGCTTCTAGGTCAATAAAAGCGACTTTGGGGATCACCGCAAATGTGAAGGGGAGCATCCTGACGAGGGGCAGGAACCGGGCAGGGGTCCTGCACTTGGTGCGGCACTTTGGATCTCTCTGTATAATATGAGCGTGAGGGGATGAAAGTGTCGGCAGCTTTTTCGCGGGGTATCCAACATCCCAAGTAGCGTAAGATTCCAAGCCATTTGCCTAAATATCGACAATGTAGTTAGGTGTGAATGTTTACGTTCCCATAACGATCGGCGAACGAAACTCATCAGTTGAAACGGAGATGAAGGTCAGGCGTGGAGTTTTCACCCTCCTCCCGCCCTCCGTAACCGGTTCTGCGGGGTTACCCTGCGCGTTGGCTCCGATCGGTTTTGCCTTAAACCCGGCAACGGAGGGGCAAATTAAATCATTCGCAGGTACAGATCACGGTTGGTACCGTACCCGCTGACAAATAGCATCGCCAGTCGACGCCACGGGGCCCCCCACCACTCTCCGCCGACGAGCGTTGCGCTGCTCGCCCCCCCCTCCCCCCTCGACGGGCCCTTGTCATCGGCATAGCCAACTCATTGCGGAGGGGGAGGTAAATTAGAGGCCAGAGAAATGTTTCAGATTGGAAGAAACCGAAGCGGAGTCGGGAGAGACGGAAGCGTCGACGCCGGGCGTCGCGGCGCGGCTCGGGGCTCGGCGGGAAAGCGCGGATTTTTCCCGGCTCGGACGACTGGCAGCGCCGCGGCGCGGCGAGCTGTCGAGGTCATCGGCTCGCGTCGCCGTTCGGGACGTAAGTGGGGGAGTCATGGCTTAGCCCCCTCCCCCCTCCCGACCCGGGCTCCGTACCCCCCACCTCCGGCGACGTTCACGTTGCCGTCCGATCGAGGGAATTTCAATGAAGGAGGAAGCCGGGGCTCGCAGCGATTTTCTCCTGAATCGTGGCTCTCCGTCGGCAACTCTGTCCTCTTTCGTCGACTTGCTTTTATCATGTATAATTTTCGGCTCCAAGCATTCAACTCGACCAAGTCCCGAGCTGACAAATCTTCGCGGCTCCAAGTTCTCAGCCATACGCAGGGTTGCCATCGACCGGGAAAACCGGGAAAAGTCAGGGAAAAAAAATCAACCGGGAAAAGTCAGGGAAAGTCAGGGATTTTTGGTGTTGGTCAGGGATTTTTCTGATTTTTCGTGGAATTAGGCGCGGGCGGTCTCGGGCTCGCGTTGCGGGATCAACTGGATCAATTTCACTTTATCAGACTGCGTCAGATCCATACTTAAAAGTCAGGGAAAAATATTGGAAAGTCAGGGAAAAGTCAGGGAATGGAAAAAAATAATTTGGCTGGCAACCCTGCATACGTCTCTTGGTGCCTTATGAGAATAGTCCATCCCTGGGTAGCTCTGGATCAGTACTGTGCGACAGCTTATCGCGTGCATTCGGATGGCAATACGTCGTAAATCAAATGCACCAACGAAGACGCCGTTAAGAGATGAGCCGCTCACCGAGCACAGAGGCCAAACCTCTCCGTTATAATTCTCAGGACCGATGCACTCTAGAGTGCGGAGGAAGAACGCCGTAGAAACATTCAGTCGATGCCAAATTTAACTCCATAATTAACGAATTTTCGGGGAAACTTTTGGATAGTAATTATCCGTCATAATGTTGATAGAATGTTACTAGCAACTTATTCTGATGTTGCTGAAAATTCCCTGTAAGGATATTCATAACCCTTGTCAAAAAATAATCATGTGATACGAAACAGCTCGGCAGCGGCTTATTGTTTACACGGCGTTGTTCCTCGGCACCAGTGCTCCCATTTCCCGGAACCTTTGAGATTTTCCGGAATTTTCCCCGGAATTGTTGAAATTTACAAAATTGTTTGCATTTTCCGGAACTTTTGTAAAAATCTGAGCGGAATCCCGGAACTTTTGATGCTCATGGAGTAGGATAAATCGGAACAAAAAAGATACGAATTTCGAAACTCTTGACGGACATAGAATGGGAGCACTGGTCGGCAAGGCGGCACTCCTAGGTTCTCGAGAAGAGAGGTATTCGGTGTCCGACCGGTGGGAAATGGAACCTGCAATGGAACTCGGAAGGCCGCAAGCTGCATTCAGGAAGTAGGGCAAAACTCGGTTCTTATCGCTCGTTGGGTCCCTCACGGTCGGATCGTTGTAACCTGAACGGAACGGGGGAGTTGCACCGGGGATCCGCGAGGCAGCGCCACCGTTCCCCAAGCGGCACGGCATGGCATGGCGCGCGTCGCGACGCCGATAACATTCCCCGACGAGGCCGCCTGCGCGTTTCTCGCCGAGATCCGATCGTGCCCTCCCCGCCTCCCGCCGCCCGCTGGCTCCGCCCCCGCCCCGCTCGTGTCTTCATTCATCCGCAGTCGCGTGCCGTTGCCGCTCCGTGCGTCCGATCCTGCGCCTCCGAGCTCACGGCATCATTGGCGGATCAATGGGGACACCCCCCCCCCCCCCCCCCCNNNTGTTAGATCGAAAGAATGGAAGGAAAAAATGGAAGGAAGGAAAATAGTAATGAAAACTGCATGTTAGATGCTGCGGAATCTGGAAATTTTCTAGAGAAAACCCCTCAGACCCTCTTCACCTCCACCCCCGGTCGAAGTGTCAAGATCCTTCTCTTGCTCGCGTTCTACAGGCGCTATCTGTGTTCAGGAAAGCGATACCGACTTTTCAGGCTGCACCCGATTAGCGCTTCGGGGTCCTAAATCCTGAAATTCAAGGGACCCATGACACTCAGAACTCCAGGCCTAGAGCCCAGAGTCTCTTCGAATCCGTCTTTTAGGCTGTGACTCCTAGAGGATCTGGAATTAAAAAAAAAAAAAAATCGCCTAGGGAGAACCCTAGTTGGAGCAACCTAGCGGCACCTCGGCTAACCCGGCTCTACTTCCAGAGGCGAATCTTGAGTATGGTCTAAAAATTGTTTTTTTCCTATCTCTTCTCTACTCTTTTTCTTGGGATTTCTATCGTGTCCTCACTCCTTATCCATTATACGTTGGAAATCTCAAGAGCGGATTTTTCGTGAAAATGACTTGCCACTAACGTTTCTGCCTTTTGATTTTGTTTCAGACGGACTTATGTGGCATAAAATGGCGTAAGTGCATATGGGGCGAGAGCGGGTTCAACCCCGAGCCGCTGCAGGACCCGGTGTTGGCGAGCTTCTCGAAATGCTTGGCGGCGGACATTCTGTGCGTCTGGAGGAGGGTCGGCGCCCAGCAGCAGACCCCCGTCGGCGTCGGGCCCGGGCCCGGGGGGCTCTTCGACCCCATCGGGCTCCCCCATTCACGGACGGTGGCGCCGCCCCTCTCCCTCCTGGCCGCCAAGGAGCTTTGGATCTTCTGGTACGGCGAGGAGCCCGACCTCTCCGGCCTTGTTGCTCCCGAACTTCTCTCCACCGGTAAGTACCCCGAGCCCGTCTCTATTTCTCTCTCCTTCTTCGGCCTTGTCTCCACAGAACGTTTCATGGGATTTGTCCTAGGAAAAAACCTCACTTGCCAAGTTGGGGAAAATATTGAGTTAATACTAATCACAGTGTCAACTAAGAGTCATTGTGGAGTCCCAGGAACGACTTGAAAAGAAGAAGAAGAAATTTTGTTATGTTGTCTAACGGGGAAAAAGCCCAGAAGTTTCATTCCTGCGATTCGAACTTGGGAAAAATCCCGTGGAGACAAGGCGTTCGCCGTCACATCGCAGCTCAACTCTACTTTTTCATGAAATTCCCATCATTTGGACGAATTTGAACCGAAAAATTCCATCTGGATCAGGAGCTGTGAGAGCACATTAGCATTGATCTAGAAATGCCAACGTGTTAGAGAGAAACGGATACGAGATTCTAGAGGACGAACCCGTCTTTACACGCTCATAATACAAGCTATTAACCCCAGTCTGACTATGATTATTAGTCGGCTGTTTTAGGAGGCAACAGGCACGTGGTCAGAGGGGCTTGACCTGGAAATGAAAGGGTTTTTTTTCCAAAAAAATTTCCCCCGGGGGAGGACCCCGGACTCCCCATATTTTGAGGGGGCACAGCTCTTCACCCCTCCCGAAACGTAATCCGGGCTAAGTGCCTGGGAGACAAAAGGAGTGCGGTAGGAAGGTGTAGCAAGAGAAAGAAAAAACAGAGGAAAAAAATTCTTGAAGTAAAAGGGAAGGAGAGGAGAAATAATGATATGAAGAAGTTTAAAGGAAAGAAAAATGAAGAAAGGAAGGAGAAGAAAAAGACGATAAAGAGGCAGTGTAATGTACTTCTCTTCCTTTTTTTTAAACCTCTGTCTCTTTCTCTCTCTTTGATCTTCCTCCTCAACCTTTTCCACGTCCTTCTCTGTTTCTTCATTCCCTTGCACCTCTTCTACTGCCTCACACTAGTGAAAACTGTGACTCTGATTCTGCTCGACCAGGGTTAAGAGCTCATATGATGACAGTGTGGCGTCGACGACGGATTGTTTATCGGAAACCCCGAGTCGAAGACATCGGAAAGCTCGCCCGGAAGAAAATGTAAAGTGCCCGAAAGACGCGGAAGAGTGAAAGCGTGGCTCCGAGTCAGAGGAGCGTTCGAAACCAATCGATAGCCGAACATGAAGTGACGCACTGACGAGATGAGGATATAAATAGATTGGACGGCAACACACGGAAGAGATCCGGCGGCGATAGGGGAGTCGATCGAGGAGCAAGAATTCGGTCCTATTTTTATAAGGGTAGGTGACTGTCGCCGCTCCTACCGTGGAGGACATGTGCCGCACCGCGCCTCGCCACCCAGCGCCCAGCGCCGCGCCGCGGCGAGCGAGGGACGAAACGGGAGTAGGGGAGACAGATGTTTAGATAAGTAACTAATCAATGAAGTGTCAGAGCACTTTACATCTTCCCCGAGCGAGCTTCTTCCCGCAAGCACTACCCTTGTAAACAGAAACACCCGCGCCCGCCGCCCGGTCAATCCCTCTTTCCAATCTGTGCCCATGAGCTAGCGTCTTGGCCTCTGAGAGGGCCTTCAAAAACTTCCCTTATTGACTGATGATTAGTGGCTAAGTCATGCGACACAGCTGTATAAAATAATAGAAATCTTATTTGCCCGTTTGAATGTTGATCAGTTTTGCCGCGCTTTCAAAGAGCGGTATCATCAGAGTGAAGAGACTCTCCACTGGCCTCTTGGCGACAGGTGGAAGCTCTTACTTTCGGGGATTCAACACTTACTTTTGGACAATTACAAGGGAGCAACAGTCATCACTCTTTTTTCGGCTGTTCGACTTACCTACTTGGTGAATAATTAGCTTCGGGTGACGTCATGAACCAAACAAGTTTCCCAAACTTCGGTAAGCTTGCAAAACGAAACTGCCGACATGTTTTTAACCATCATCAACCAAGTAGTTAGGTCAACAGTTGAATATTGAAGTCCCGAAAGTAAAAGCTTACACCATTTGCATGATACTAGTAGAGGGTCTCCGGGTAAAATTAAAACGGCTTATTTCAGGGTTGAATTTTTGAGATTGAGGTCATATTGTTCCTCCATTGGAATATTAGCCATTAAATCAACAAAAGAAGAAGGAGAGATTGAGGTAATGTTTTTGTTTACAATTGAACCATTGTGTACATCGATCTATCGAATGGCATAGCCACTAAATCAGTCTATCGGAAACGACGATTGTCAATAAGTGTGGCATGCCGGAGTATTTCGAAAGCTCGCGATTTACGAGTAAACGCACCGTGCTTTCTGCAGCGGGGCATCGGATAAAAGGGGAATCTGAGTATGCACGGATAGAGGGAGTTGTGCGGTGGCGGGGAATTATGCAAGTTGCGCGTCGCTGCCGCACCGAGCATCGGCACCGGCGACACGAAATACGGGCCCGCCAAGCGCACAATGGGAGCCGAGTCGTCCCTGCGCGGCCAAAATCAATAAGTCTTGCAGCAAGACCCTGACTTTCCTCGATTTTTCCCTGATTATTTTTGTTTTTCTCTGACGCGGCAACGTTGGAATGCTAAAACAACATGGGCCTCTTAATCCCCATCGTTCGATGCCGCGATTTTCCTAGCGCGAGTTCGAATAATCGCGCCAAACACGGTGCAGTAAGCGTCGAACTCATATCAGCGCCTGCAAGACTGCAGGAATACTTCTCGCATTGCGCCAAACAGTGCGGTCGGCGTCGACGCATATCAGCGCCTACAAGATTGCGTGAATACTTCTCGCATTGCGCCAAACGCAATACGAGAGTTGTTCGCTATAACTGACTACGGTTATAAAGGTGAAAACAAACTCAGTTATAACGCTTTCAGTTTTTGTTTGAAAAATGTATTCGAAATCAGAAGTCACTCAAAATTTTAATGCGCCACATTGCATGACCGAGTTCAAGATTGACGGATTATTTACGGGCTTGCTACGATATCGGTTGTGCGAACCGAAGGCTGCGTTTGACGAACCGCTTAGTTGGGATGGATAGAACACCTTGTTCTCCTTCATTTTAAGGATATACAATTTTTTCCTCCTGCAAGTCAAAATAGTTGTATCACTTGTTTTGCCCCCCTAGAGTCCCTTTATACTGAGAGTGAAGACCATGCGAATCCATTTCTGATCGGTTCCCGCATTTTAGGCCTTCGTAGTGTCACAAACGGGAATAAAGATTACATTTTCATCAGTTGCAGAGATAATAAACTGGAATGGATCGGGAAATGGGGGTACGGTAAGGAACAAATGGAATGAAAGAGGGAACGGAGGTAGGAATTTGGGAACGGGTTGATCTAAGGTTACAAAAAACGTTCGATTTGTGTTATCTTTTTTTCCGTATGCGATATCTATCAGTGTCTCAACTCTCTACAAAGGGACTCTACTTTGCCCCATCCAACTTGTCCTCTCTACGCTGAAGTTTTCGAGTTAGCCGAAAAGAGTTCACGTTCTCCTTCATCTGGTGGATATGCAATTTGACGTACTTTGAAGTCGAAATATTCGAACCACGCGTTTCGCCCTTTCCCGCATGTCTTCTCTGCTCTCAAGTGGCGGCGTTTAATGGTGGCCCGGCCCACCGTGCGACGGACGGTGACGCACGCGTCGCGAACCGCCACTTGTGGAGCGGAGCGCGAAAACGCGAAACCCCCGCGTCGCGACGAGCTCCCCGCTTCTAATCTCTGACGTAGCGCCACGCTATTCCGCCGGCCGCCGCTCGACGTCACGGCGCGTAGCAGCAGCCAGCGTCCCGTGTGACGTCACGGAGAGGGTTCCCCTACTTCGGCGAGCCGGCGCGCGGCGTCCTCTGCCACCCCCCTCCCCCTCCCCCTCACCGGGCTCAGTTTTGTTTTGGGTTTTTTTTCCACCGCGGAACTCCGTCCGCACCTCGCGCGCCTACCCGGCTGACAGCGTTGCCGTTTCGCGATGCTCATTGCGTCAGTTTGTTCGAACTAAAGATGTGAATCGTATCTACCATACGTAGGCTAATAAGTCGTTTAACGCCCGTAAATGCGTCTTTTTTTTTTTTTTTTTTTTTTTTTTTTTTTTTTTAGTACCAGAAATTTTCACCGGAGACCGCGGTAGTATCGTACAACTCCCGCTTCCCAAGAAACAAGTTTAGTGGAGACTGGAGTAGCGGGGACAGTTGGACTTTTTCGAATCTGGAACTACAATTTCTGGCTCAGTTTAGAACAGCGTGTGCACCATTAATTTCCCTGTACACGTGAAGTGTTTGCACGGATGAGCCAGAAATTGTAGTTTCTAATTGCGAAATGTCCAATTGGTCTCTTGAAGGCTCTTAAGAATCTGAAATAGTCGGGAAGGGGGCCGTCTCCAATTTTTGACGGGTGATGATACAGTATTTTCTGCCATTCTGCTATTAGAGGGCCGATGCTGTATATTGTTTCCCCACAAATGATGCCCAAAATTAGTTGTTTAACCGAGTGAACGCGGAATATTGTGTAATTTGTTTCGGTAATTTGTGTTGAATTTGTGGTGCTGTGAGGGAACGAAATCCCATTTTCAGTCATTCCAACCTAAATCCGGTCCCAACGTCCGCCATTTTTGGAGCTCTAGAGATAGCCGAAGATGACCATACTTATCTTCGATGGACCCTCTTGGATCTCTGGACTTCTCCAATGAAGAGATGAAAGTCAAGTCCAAGGGTTCATCAGCATCCGTTATTCTCTCATCACGATCCCTGCTTTGTACGGAACGACGAAGAAGCTTTCAGAACTGGGTGTTGGAGACCGTCCACGAATTCTTCTTCGGTTTTTCTATCCTCCCTACTTCTATGACAGGTAGAAGCAGCCTTGAACCTTTTCTGAAAGGTTATGCTCGACTTGAGTTAACCGTCCTCCCCCCTTCCCCCGTATAATTATCAGAAATCTGCGCTTCATGACGTTTTCGATCGGTTTTGTTTTTTTTATAGAATGATCGCTTTCTGCCGATTATATAGCCAGTCTTCA